TGTTATGTTGGCTTTAAAATGCCAAAATCTACTATAATTTTCATCACTGTCACAGCATCCTGATAATAATTTTTTGTCCCTTCCAGAGTACAGCCGGCGCCTGAAAGAGCGAATGCATCATAATATCCCACATCGTTTTAACGTGGGGCTAAATATGAGAGCAACAAAATGTGCAGTGTGTCTGGATACTGTGCACTTCGGACGGCAGGCATCTAAATGTCTTGGTAAGAGCAGAGGACATGCATGAACAAAGTGTAACTGGATAGTAGAATGGAAAAGCATCAGACATAGAACAGATTTTTCGGTGAAGAGGGTTAACTTTTATATTCTAACAATTTTCAGCATGTTTCTGGGCTTAGTTGAAAGACCTATTTGAAAAGGCTGGTGACCAACTCACTTTCTCAGCAAGAGCCTGGTTATTTTATGCATGTTGCTTTGCTACAAGCAGCTAGAAGTTGAGACGGAGTGTGACAACCAGGAACTCCTCACCAAGGAAAGTACGTTGTCTTCAGGACCAGCGTTGTCTATCAGAACTGGAAAAATCAATCTAAATTCTTTCCAACTACATGAGACTATTTGATAGAATAGTCTGCAACATCAGACCTTTATCATCCAGTTCTTTCTCTTCCTGCAGATGTAAGTTGAAAAGGACCGGTTATGAAGGCTTTGCAGCTTGTTGGTGGAAACATTCTACATTAGAAAACATCTGATGGTTTAGAGTGGAAAGAGATTCTTGGAAAAGTGGGGGCTGGTGACAGTTAGAAGTTGAGGCAACAGGGTCTTGGGTTTTTTGTGCTTTTTGGCAGAATTTTTTCTCTGTCTTTTTGTCAGAATGCCAGGTGATGTGTCACCCAAAATGCTCAACTTGCTTGCCAGCTACTTGCGGACTGCCAGCAGAATATGCCACACACTTCTCTGAAGCATTCTGCCGGGATAAAATGAATTCTCCTGGTCTGCAACTGAAGGAGCCAAGCAGCAGTCTACGTCTTGAAGGGTGGATGAAAGTGCCAAGGTATAAGCATAAATCTTGGTGCCATATCAGGTGCTGGAACATGCGGAACAGTTCTGTATATTATCCTGGCTCTTACGATGCAATAATTGGTACCTGTCCATTACAATTTCTTATATTACCACTGAAATATATCTTTCTAGGATTTCCGTGCTTGTTTTGTTCAGAATCTGAGTAGAAAATCTAACATGTTTTTGTGCTTATTTTCCTCAGGAATAATAAACGTGGGCAACAGGGCTGGGACAGGAAATATATTGTCCTAGAAGGAACCAAAGTGCTCATTTATGATGCAGAAGCAAGAGAAGGTAACTTAGCACTTCTAGGAAACTTTTAAACTTCAGATATTGTTTGCTGAATGGAGAGGCTGAAAGAGAGTTACTCTTTGCTGTGCCTGTATCTAATTTAGCTAAGGTTTTTGTAGTAAGGCAAAGTTGTATTTTTTTTTTTTTTTTTTATTTCCCTCATGGTTTTATTAGCTGGAATGTCATCGTAATCCAGCTGCGAAACAACCATTGTGTCATCTTGCCATCAGTTATTTTCTCACTATTTACTTGTTTGTTCTTATTCTTTCTCTCTCTGTCTCGCCATTCTCCCTCAAGCTGGACAGAGGCCTCTAGAAGAATTTGAGCTCTGCCTTCCTGATGGTGATGTAACTGTTCATGGAGCTGTAGGAGCAACTGAACTTTCCAATACAGCAAAGACAGGTGAGAATCAATGAGATCAAATGGATTTCAGCTGGCTTGACATCAGTTTGGAGCTAGTTTGGCAGAACAGAACTTTCTCCCTTTAACTTTCGTTCTGTAATTGTGCAATTTTGAGGTTACCTCTATTTGAATTAGGTGAATAGATCAGACATTTAGATTTAGTTATACATAGATGGTTGCTTCTGTCATGATAGCTGAACTGTGAATAAGATATTCATCAAGCCAAATGGAAGTAAATTTTAGTGGTTTGTAAGTGCTTGGTTCATTTAAATTTCCTCTTTCTATGTTCTCTATCAAGTGTGAAGTTTCATAATTCATGTCAGCGTTGTGCTCTAACCAGAAAGTTATTAACTTAGAAATGTTGTGGGGTGTATAGAATCCTTTACTATGAAAAATGTTGATGCTTTGTTTTGTATGTATTATGTAGAACCAATGAAAAGATTATGTATGTCTTGACTTTAACATTAAAGGATACAGACTGTTAAAAACGAAGTTTTCCATAACCAATTTTTACAAATTTTTCTGAAAAGCATGCTTGAACAGTATAGGGAAAATTTTAGTCAAGTGCATGTTTTTGTAGTTTTTCACAGTGATATTTCTTTCTCTTCTGAATAAAAGGCAAGAAATTATATTTATTTAGTAGAGACAGCATTATATGCGTGGTTTGGATACTTCTAGCTATATATTGAGCTTTAAGTAGCTAGCCTGTGCATTACCTGTAAAGGAGAAACCTATATATAAATTGCCATGGTAACACATCATGATAAATACAACATTCTCTCCAATGAAGCTGAAAGGTGTTAATTTAAGTCCACTGACAATATTACAGAAACTAATCTAAGTCTTATTCTATCTATATAACATCTCAGATGTGCCATATATCCTAAAATTGGAGTCTCATCCACACACCACTTGCTGGCCTGGTAGAACACTCTACCTATTAGCACCCAGTTTCCCTGACAAACAGCGCTGGGTCACAGCACTGGAATCAATAGTGGCAGGTGGGAGAGTTTCCAGAGAAAAAGCTGAGGCCGATGCTGTGAGTATAAAAGTTTTATTTAATAATAAAATATTCTGGGAGGGAGCAGAGTTATGAAAATTAATTTTTCGGTATTTGACATTCTGAGGTTTAACTAAAGGTAAGTTAATATTTCTCCATTAAGATATACAATATAAGTACCAAGAACTGTAGTTCATTGTGAGACTGCTGCTTTACTTTACAATACCCTCCCTCCCTTAGACTTGAAGAGTATCTTAAGAGCACCCAAAACTTCTTATCTCTGTAAGTCCAGCAAATAGAGAAGGAAGAAAGCAGTTAGGACATGGTTTTTATAATGTACCATACGGAATGAGCAAACCTTAAAAGAAAGAATGAAACAAAGAAAAGGCTTTCTCTTCTGCCATTCATTAGTGGCATTTGGGGTTTTTTGAGGGGAGGTGTTTTTATTTTTAGTCTTATTACTGAAAGGAATAAGAGATATTAAATTGGAGTAATTTTGGCTTTGGATAGCTTTTTTTCATCATCATTGTGCTGATAACTCTCTATTTTCTGATGAAGGGAGATTTTGCTTTATGGCACTGCATATTAAAATGTTAGCTCCAGAAGCAGTAAATATCTGCTAGCAGGAAAGCATCTCTTCTCTTGTACTAACATTTCTTTTGTCTCTGAGAATATGCCTGTTCCCACAAACACTTGGTTTTTTTTTTATTCTTCCCATGGGAAGTTGTCACTGCTCTACTGCAGGAGATTGAGAGACACGGAAGGACTAGGGGCTACAATAGCTTCTGTCTGACTGTATTTTGGGTAGATAAACATTCGCTAATTCTCAAGAACAAGAAATCTGTGCCAGGCTTGTCTCCTGTCTTAAATGATGAGCTTAAATTGCTAAAATGCTAATACATTGTTCATTGCTAATTACAACTAGGCAGGACAATTTTAGCTCCAATACTTGGCTAAGATTGACCCAGTAGTTCTGTTAGATTAGGAGCTAAGGGAAAAGCTAGATAACATTTTATCAGTGCTGAATATTGTCTAAGAAATAGAAAACATGATAAAGATTAACTTAACATGGAAAAATTGTTTTGTAATTTGCAGAAATTGCTTGGAAACTCCCTACTAAAGCTAGAGGGTGAAGACCGTTTGGACATAAATTGCACGATGCCCTTCAGTGACCAGGTAATGATAATGTTCAGTTGGACCTTACTGAGTATTGGATATTCCATTCATAGAAATTATATCTTCACAGCAATATGTGTAATTATATCCTTGGTTGTTGGATTTCTTTTTACTCTTCACAGGTAAACTCTATCAGCCAAGCCTGTTCATGGACATTCCTTGTTCTCCTCATGTAGTGCTATTTTTTGTCATTGTAGGTAGTACTGGTGGGGGCAGAGGAAGGTCTGTATGCCCTGAACGTGCTGAAGAATTCCTTAACGCACATCCCAGGGATGGGTGCTGTCTTCCAAATTTACCTCATCAAGGATCTGGAGAAGCTACTCATGATAGCAGGTAGGGGGCTATGTGTTACCATTTGTCTTTGCGGTAACATTGTAATCACTCTGTACTGCCAGAATGAAACTCCCAGCCATACAGTGTGCCAAAGGGTTAGGTTTTCCTGTAGTTTTGTTACAGAATTTTTTTTTTAAATCAGTGTATCATCAGGAATCAATTTCTGTGGTTAACAGAGTATTGTTTGAGATTTTCATATAAATGAATATGTGAATGGAAGCTCAGTTATACCATCATATTTGAAAGAATGTGACGACTTAATTTCCAAAGCTGAGGCAGGGAGGAACAGAAACAAAACACTTCCAGCTTAGATCTGTAAAGAGTTTAGTCCAAAATAAGCGTCCATGTTTCCTGTGTGAGCTTAGTACTCACGATGTCACTGAAGTTAAGCCACAGTTGTCTGTTTCTTTGTTTTCTCATATCTGGCTTTTGTAGACATATGTGTAGGGCAGTAATACTTAAAAGCTAGGCTAAGTTCAGAGGAAATCAGGTAGCACTTCTGAGCCATTTGGGACTCCAGAAAGAGCAAGAGCAGCTTGCTCCTCCTTCCTCTGCTATGCAGCAGGTTGCCAAGAGAGAACCTGTGGAGCAGCTGTAGTAAAGAAGGAGCAGAAGCTGCTTGGAGTGCTCATCTCCTAATGGAGTTACTGTGGGGTTGCACAGAAAGTGATGAAGGCAGGAGAAGGATTTGTGACTCTGTCTTATAGCAAATGGTCCTACGAAAACAGTTCAATTAAAAAATTGTTGAGCTGGTCAGTGAGCACATCTCTTCCTGATCACCACATACAATTTTTCTTAACGCAGTTACCGTTTGAGGACCACAATGTGATGGCTGTGGCCTAGCGCCAACAACTCTCAACCTATAATGTGCAAAAGACTAATGCATGTAGCAAAATGAGGACTGCTTTCACTATTTGTTTAAGATTCCCTTATGAAAGCAACACCAACTATAATCTCTCCGTTGGCATGATTTTCTGGAGTTTTCCTTCCTATTTTGGTATGTGCTTGCTAAACACTAGGGCATATCTTCATCTGAAAGCCCTAGTTATCTGGTACCTATATGACGTTTGTAGGGAATGAAAAACAAACTGTGTCTCTTGATCTGTTGTTTTGGAATTTTTTTCCCCTTGTATAAGTCTAAGATGTCCATTCCTTTTCTTCTTTATTACCCTAAAGCAAAAAAAAAAAAATTACAAAAAGAAATTTTTTACAACAAAATTTGGAAAAGATATGTTATTGAATCTCTAGGCGTATGAGAAAAATCAGTCTTGGCCTGTAATGCTGTTCATTGGGGCCCTTCTTGGAAATCCATTGCAAGTTATGTTGGCACAGAGAGGCTAAAGCACCTTGCACTTTAAGAAGCCCTGAAGGGTAAAAGAAAGCCTTCTAGCTAATTTTCAGTAGTGTCCTAATGAGGCCACACTCAATGATGTTCTACTAGACCTTAGCAACACTAATAATCCATGAAGACAATGGTGGTTCTCCCAGTGGATTTACTGCCTGTTGTGTGGTTGTTTTTGGTAAGTTTTCTGTTTCACTTTTAATAGAATAATATGGAATGAATTCTACATGCATCATCTTCTGTGACTGTTACCACAGTAACAGTCTGTAATGAGAAGCTGCTGCTTAGGTAACAGACTTTTGTAGAGAATAAGGAAGTTCTCCCTTGACAAAATGTAGCCGTTTTTGTCTCCAGGAGAAGAAAGGGCTCTGTGTCTTGTTGATGTAAAGAAAGTGAAGCAGTCTCTAGCCCAGTCTCACCTCCCAGCCCAGCCTGATGTCTCACCAAATGTCTTTGAGGCTGTCAAAGGATGTCACCTTTTTGCCGCTGGCAAGGTAGGATATGGTTTCTTCTTGCCTCATACCCCCCCTTTACCCTGTACTGAGTTTAATATAAATCAAATCAGCATCTTTATTTCATTAGCAACAAATTCAAGATATGTATTCTTGCCTTGAATCTTTCTTTTCAAATAACAAGAGTATGGTGGGGAGAAGAGAGACTGAGGTGGAGTGGAGGAGCTACTACAAATATGAATAAATTCAGTCAGGACGACATGATGGTATATCCTAAACTATTACATAATAAGAAACATAGCGCAGTGTGGTATAATTGCCTCCTCACAGTTGATTTCAGTTTTTCGATTTATAATTAGTAAATTCCGTCCACTATTTGTTCTTGAATGTTGTGTAACAGTTTCCATGGTAGCAACTTTGCTTTATGCATTGGTATCAATTGATAACATTTGATATTTATGCTAATTCCCAGTTTTAATACGGAACATTCAACCGCAGCAAAAATTCTCATTAAGAATTGCTTCTGCAGATTACTTGGATCGATAACAAACTGAACATTGTTCAGTTCAAAGTAACGTTTAAGATCACAGTTTGAGAGGTTAAAATTAGGCCTAACCTGTGTGAATTTGTTACCACTTTTAATGAAACATTTTCTGTGGAAAAGCTTCTAATCTTTTAATAGGTTGTTTCAAGTATACAAGAAATCACAGAAGCAGTTCATGTTCTTTTGAGAACGTGAAGAGGCTGTTCGTTATTTCACTAATTTGCAATTACTACCCTATTAAAAATGTACTTGCTCATCTCTGCAAACATTTCTCTGAGGTGAGAGGTACTTGGAATTGTTTCATGTGCGCAGCATTAGAATTTACCCTGTGTTACTCTCCTGAACTATTCTTGTGATCTTCCTCATAGGTTGAGAATGGTCTCTGTATCTGCGCAGCCATGCCCAATAAAGTGGTTATTCTGCGATATAATGAGAACTTAAGCAAGTACTGTATCAGAAAGGTAAGCATAGTAATTCCCTTCAGTAGCTAAGGGTAACACACATTGCACTAAGGCTTTGCTTTGCTTTGCTTGGGAGCAACATCTTAAACCTTTTTGCATGCATAAAAACATTGTTTGCCAGCTAAAATGACAGCAAATTGCAACGTGCACTGTCTACAATTGGAGTAGGCAGCAGTTTCCTGTAACGACAGTTGGCATATATGGAGAGAGGCAGAACAGAATTGTGAATTTTGAGATACTGGGCTCAGCTTTAATCATAAATCATAGACTTGCTTTTTTTTTTTTTACCAAAAACAGGCTGCTTTCTTAGTTACTCAGCAGCAGTGTTTCCTCACCTCTGTTGTTTTTGGGCAAATCCACCACAAATGACTTCTCTCTTCTTTGTGTTTATAGAAGCAATGGGTATCTTAATTTTTTTTTAGTGTTCCAGTGAACATCAAAAGGTATTTGGTATATCCCCATCATAGGACAAGTTAGCTAGCTGTGTTGCCAATGCTAGCCCTGGTATATGCATACGTGTGTGTGTGTGTGTGTGTGTGTGTATATACACATACATATATATGTATGTATTTTCCTGGGCAGCGGACAAGACAGTAAGATTTGGATCTCGTGTGCCTGTGTATATACCTCCTGTGCATGTAACCCCATTTACCTGCAACACCAGTACTGTACTAGTACTAGTACTTGTACGGCTTCATTCTGCTATGCAAGGACATAAAAAGCAGGATGACTGCAGCTCTTCACACAGCAAATTGTAGGCAGATAATACTCCAAGCAGCTGACCCAGTATTCCTCTCAGAGACAAGTCCAGTGAATATCATGAATAAATTTTATATGCCCTGACACATCCATAAACAAAATATTAGGAATGCCTCCTCAGAACAGAGGGCTTAAACACTCCCCGTCTTTAAAAGGGCCAGTACCCAGAAACTCTTCCTCTCTAATTTACAAAGTAAGGGATGTTCAGGACAAAATGAATGTCCCCATAATACAGGTTCCTGCTTCTAATAGAATAACCTGCTTCTGCAGGTTACTTTGAACCCACCAGATAAAGTTACAGCTTGACTGAGGCCATTCACTTCACTGAGTACTATACTTGGTGGCGGTAGAAGCAGAGTCGGCATAGCAATTCAGGTGCTGGCCTCTTTAGAATTAAAGGCATCTTTGATGGAGAAGACCTTGGCACAAACAGTGGGGATGCCAGCAAACCTGGAACCTCTACCAGCTATTTTCAAAATGGCATCAAAAACCTTGTGGCTCGTACCAACTCCTGCTCGCAAGTGGAACATCTGCCAGCAGGAAGCAGCGAAGATTTACAGTGACTGTCCTCGAGCAGTGCTGCTGCTCATCTTCTCCCTAGTGCCAAGGGCCTTGGCAAGGGCTTACAAGTAAAACGCGCAAAGGCATGTTTTAGAAGGCAGGTTATCCATATGTTCGCTAATCCTGATAACTGAGTTTAGAGCCTAACAAGATGACAGCAAGCCCAGGATATGCTCTTCTGTTCTGCCAACCAAATTACTAGATAAACTAGGGTAAATAAAATAGACAGTAGAGATTAAAGAAGTCTAGATCAAATCCATGCCACACCTTTCTGGACACAAATGTTTATCTGAAGTTATCAAACTATGATTGTTATGGAGGTAATGTCTTGAGATTGCTAGGTAAAATGTTGGAATGCACAGGTGCAAGAACATCTTAATTTGTGATCACATCAGTTCTGTTTTCCAGTGAAATCCCCATGAACATGATTTTAGCTACGTATTGTAGAACTGAGATGGTGAAAGGAGCCCAGAAACTTGCATGTAGGGATTCTGTTTTGTGAGCCCTTTCAATCTGTGACTTTCAGTTATGGATGAATTGAAACAAGTTGGGGAACACATGTGGATTATGCAAGGAACCTTGTCCTCTGAAGATCTGGGGACCTGCCTGTTGTGTCAGGCTAGCCTGCAGAGCTTTCAAACACTGCAGATGTTGGTGGACAACATATCTGTGATGCTTTATGCAAAGAAGGAAGATTGTGTACATTTGTCTTCCTTTTGCTCAAGAAGCAGTCAAGCTCGTTTCTTAAGCATTCACGGCAGAAGTGCATCAAAGAGCTGCTTTTGGTTTTTTTTTTTTGGGGGGGGGGGGGGGGGGGGATCAGAATGATGGACATGTTTACTACTGATATGACTGCCAGCTACCAGGAGTTCTGTTCCACAGGCTGTAAAGAGTTTGGAAATTCAGTGGACTCAATCCTGCTGCAGTTGTCTTAGGATCTTCTGTGTGTCTTTCTACCAGCTTCTCTGATTCTTTGTGGCTTCCAGGCCAGGGATGAAGCTGTGACTGCTCCAGTGGAGCTTTTCAGGAGCTGGGGCAGTTTTGACTGATATGCCTCCTTGTGACTGGTCTCTGATTCAAGTTCTAGTCTTGTTGTATCATCTCCTGATACTCTGTTCAGTCCTGCAGTCATTTGCATGGCTTTTACCTATTACAAGTAGGGAGCCATTCCCTGCCATTCTAGAAAACTGAGCTACAGAGCAGAGGATTATCTTCCAGAATAGTGCATCCTTCCAAATGGAAGAGGTTCTCAATGTGGTTAATATGCAAGTCTATATGAAAGCAGACATCATTTCCAACAAAATAAAATTTGTCCCTCCAGCAAGAGTACTTTTTCACATGTTTTAGAGAGTTAATGACTTTGGGGTTGCTGTACGTTGTTTTTATAGAGCTAAATATTGCAATCTATAGTCTTTCAGAATAAGCAAAATCTCTAAACAGTTTTAGGGAACTAATACTGCTCTGTGTTTTCCTCCTCTTTTTCAGGAGATTGAAACCTCAGAGCCTTGCAGCTGCATCCATTTGACCAATTACAGCATCATCATTGGAACCAACAAGTTCTATGAAATTGAGATGAAGCAGTATACGCTCGAAGGTAGGAGACATTTCCTGGTGAACACACCAAGTGGCTTTACAGATTCTTTTGTTGCGACTAGGAGTACCGCTTTCGAAAGAAGTTGGTGCTGATCAAGCTGTTCTTTTCTGTGCTCTGTTTTACAGAGTTTCTAGATAAAAATGACCACACTTTGGCCTCTGCTGTGTTTGCTGCTTCCACCAACAGTTTCCCAGTCAGTATCATACAAGTGAACCCAGCAGGGCAGAGGGAGGAATACCTGCTGTGTTTCCATGGTAAGTCTGTTGTATGGCTGTTGCGCTGTATCTGCTCTTTTCGGTATGTGAACTGTCAGAAAGTACCTGACCGCTGTAGTAATAGAAAGCTGAACAGAGTTGACTTTGGTACAAGGTAACAAAGACTTGTTGAGAACTGTGAATCTAAAAGCCCCAGAAGAGTTGTGGGGCTGCTGGCAGTGTAAATAGTGAGATGCACAGGACATGAGCACAAAAATGGTTCATACTAATCCAGGCTACAGAAATGTTCTTGGTCAGCTTGCTTCTGGCTTATAAATTCTTTGTGCCTATTACTCAGGTACCACCAGTAGGTTTATATGGCAGAAAGGAAGGGATTGGAGTGAATGTTAAGCGCAAATAGATGTTTAACCATCCTGATCAAATATGAAGGGGTTTTCAAACTTTGTGATTTTATCAGTCTTCCATACAGACAGATAAGACTTTTTAATCTTCTTGTGACTAAACAAAAGAGGGTGTGTTATTTTTGCAGATAGCTGCTTTTGCTGGACCTCTAGCATAGTGCCATGGCAACACACAGTAAGTCTTCGAAAGCCCACTAGCAGTAATCTTGGGTGAATTGCAGTAGGAGTCTCATGGTCTTCCCAACTGTAGAAGTAGATGGAATAATAACCTTACCTTAATCAGCAAAAAGAGAATTAAAATCACCATACCTTTTGGTACTGAAAGTACTCATAAATCTAGCTAATTCAGTATTAGAGCAATTTAACTGTAGGACTTGCCAGATAGTAAGCACTCTCTCACTGTTAAAAAGCCCACAGTTAATTGCCTTTGTCCCTTCAAAAATGAATAAATAAAATTCAGCTGCATACTCATGACATGAAATTACTGTTCTTGACAGAGTTTGGCGTCTTTGTCGATTCCTATGGAAGACGCAGTAGGACAGATGACCTGAAATGGAATCGCTTGCCGTTAGCTTTTGGTAGGTGTTGAGGCACGTTCACTTAGATTACGGACATTACTGAAACCAGGAAACACCCTTGTGGGAAAGGTATTCTTCGGTCTCAGTGGTTCTGTTTCCTCTTCCCTCCCCCAGTTCTCCCAGAAACTGGAAATTTTTCCATGGTTCAAGATCATTATAAATCCAAGTGGCAGACCTTGTGAAATGTAAACAATTAGAGGAAAACTAAACCAAAACATTTCCTTAATGCTTCTAATCTGACTAAACTGCCTAGTGGAATTTTTAATGACGCTTGGAAATTTCTGAAATAGTCAAGAACATATCATTTCAGTGTGGATCCTTCCAGACTTTTGCACTACCTAATGGATTTTGTTCAGTTAATAGTCCATTTTTAATGCCTTTTCCATGATACTTTGTTAAAACTCTTGGGGTGCAGATAGTTACAAAACAACAATTCTTTAAGTTTGTATCTCCGTATTTAGTAATATTGTCTATGTTTTATTACGGAAAACCCACACCGTTAGTTTTCTCCATGAAGTGTAAGGTTCTGTAGTGGTCAGTGGTGCTTTTTTTTTTTTTTTATAAGTGTGTAATAATAGAGATCTTTTGCATTGTGTTTTTTCCTGCATTGGTGATGCTGCTTCAGCCTACAGGGAGCCCTATCTGTTTGTGACCCATTTCAATTCCCTTGAAGTGATTGAGATTCAGGCACGAGCTTCTCTAGGGTAAGTTGTTCTCTTTCTATTGCTTTGAACAACATATTTCGCGAAAATACGCACAGGTGTGTGTGTGTGTGTATAATTTCTTAGGAAAATGTGTAGCATTCTCATTGTAAAGACTTTGTTCTTGCATTTTTGCCCAGAACTCCTGCACGAGCCCACTTGGAGATACCAAATCCACGGTATCTAGGGCCTGCAATTTCATCTGGAGCTATCTACTTGGCCTCCTCCTATCAAGACAAGCTAAGAGTGATATGCTGTAAGGGCAATCTAGTGAAGGAGTCCAACAATGAGCACCACAGAGGCTCTTCTGCTACACGCAGGTATGTTGAAATCTGTGTTATCTTTCAACCTATTGGTTGTGCATATTGAATGAAAATTTCATTCTAGATGTCTTTTTTTCCACCATATATTGATGCCCTGGTTCCATTCTTAGAGGTTGACTTCTCACAGGAACAGCTTAAACTAATGCTGGAGTGGAACAGGGAATAGAATCACCAATGTTTTAAAATCCAGAATGCTAAGAACTGTTGACTCGATAGGAAAACATGGGTAATTTCCTCCACAAACATTTCCAAAACCAAGTAAAGGATATCTTGTGATCTTCAGCTGTTTTACTCTCATGTTGATGTTGACTTCAAAGCTTGGTGAGCGTAGTTGCTATTGATGTGACAAAAAATGTCAACTGACTGTAATAATCTCTAAATGCAGAGCCCCTTCCTCATAAATAACATGTATGTCTTAATAGTGACAGTGTTTTAGGAAGTTGTGATATGATCTTGTTCTGTTCAGCTGAGCAGGGATACTTGAGACAGGTAAGTAAATATTGTGGCCCTGTGCATCAAAAAACTGAGGAATTGAGGCTTGTAGCTCATCCTAACCTGACCTGAAAAATCCTGCAGCTAGTGACAATTTTGTATGTGAAAAGACAAAAATGAATTTTTCGTGCACTTTTATATGAAAAAATATTAAGCCCGGGAAAAATCTGTAGTTTGGTAGTTGTTACATAGAATGATTTACATTCATTAAGGCACTGTACTATTGTAAGGCACTGTGCTAGTGTCACTAACGTAACAGTGTAGCACAGGGAGGTCTGATGCTTTTCCACTGAAGCACTGCTGGGTGTTTGGGAGAAGTTTTTTACTTTTGCTAATAAAAAATGTAACTTGAGGTTTTTGTCGCTCAGCTGTTCGCGTCCATTATTTTTGAATGACAGTAGCCCTAACAAGAGAGGTCCGCCCACATACAACGAGCACATAACCAAGCGGGTAGCATCAAGCCCTGGACCCCCAGAAGGTCCAAGCCACCCTCGAGAACCAAGCACACCACATCGGTACCGCGAGGGAAGGACAGAGCTGCGGAGAGACAAGTCACCTGGGCGCCCCCTGGAGAGGGAGAAATCTCCAGGCCGGCTTCTGAGCACCCGCAGAGAAAGGTCCCCTGGAAGACTGTTCGACGAGACCAGCCGAGGACGAATGCCCGTGAGTGGTGCCAGAACTCCTCTCTCTCAAGTCAACAAGGTAAGTCGGAGCTTGGAGAACTTCTCCATCCTCAGGAAAAGGTGTGGACTTCAGATGGGCTGCTGGTACTACAAAGTAGAAGAGCAAATCAAATCTCACCCCGCTTTACTTTTACTAAAACAGAGCATATACGAAGTTGTGTAATTCACTGGCCCTGGAGCATCTTCCCTTGTGCTAGTTCTGTGTAATTGCAAAAGCAGCTTGACTCTGGAATAGGTTATAATCCTCCAGATGTGAAAGGGAAGGTGCCTTCACCAACAGAAGTGAAGTTATTGAAAACTTGGGAGGGAGAAGATGGCTGGAGAAAGGAACTTAGAAGCCTGCTGTGTTCAGAGTGATGCTGATGATACTTGCCTTTGTCAGTGGTTTAATTATGTCACCTAGAAGCCCTCGCTCAGCAGTAGTTAGACTATGTACCGCTTTTGGCAGCTGTGCATATGTGAGAAAAGTGTGTGCAACTTATGACTGTCATTTTATTTCCCTGCCAGGTCTGGGACCAGTCTTCAGTGTAAGTCTCAGCTAGACAAAGTTACTCATCTTGACCTGCAGGAAAAAAAAAAAAAAAAGGAAATATACTGAGTATATGCACTCCATATGTCTGCTGCCCAGTTACCAAAACAGCATTCCTGGGCCAAAGCTAGCTCCGCATCAGGAGACCTGTGATGCTTTTGAGGATTGCCCGCATCTCAGTTAATTTCTCCGCACTTTCCTGCACTCCTGTTTTTGCACTTTGTACTACTGTTACTCTTTCAAGCAGTTCATGAACTTTTTGTATTCACCGTAGTCCCTAGTAGTTCATCCAAGAAAATCGGATGGGACTAGACTCCCACCCCAGATCTTTAATGTGGTTAGCACCCCTTAACAGATAATTAATCATAGTTCTGAGACATGCTGGGAATTCCTGATGGCCTTGATACAGAAGGGCCAAGGTGACCGAGTCTTTCAGTAGAAGGTGTGGTTGGATATTCTCTACAGAACTCGAGAAAATTTAATTTTGATCAATCTGTTCACCTGCCACTTTGAAATTTGTTTTGTTCCCACTAAAATTGCCCTAGAGCAGCTCCAATGGGGAGGCAAGAACCCTGCTTTAAATGATCCCATGTGCCCTGCCCTGAGACAAAGTGCATTATCTCTAAGCTACTGGGGTGTAAGACTTTATCTAGGTCTTCTGCATGACAGTTCACTGCATGCTGCTGCACCATCACTGGCTGCTCTCTCCTTTTGGGTTGCTTTGCTAAGTAGTGTATTGTACCTCACTTGTAAATTAACCGAAACCTTTGGATCGCACTGCAAAATAACCACCATGAATCACTGGAAATTTGGCAGTGAAGAGCTACAGGCCTTATTCTACGACAAGAATTATAGTCACGCTTGTATCCTCCTTTCAGCATTAAACACGGTCCATTCAGAAATTACATCCGCATAGTCTCAAATCCCAAGAGATCCCACTTTCCCCAGAGAGCTTCAAAGAAAAGCATGAGAGAAGAGCAGCACAGATCACGTCTGCTGTGATTCATAACTTGTCGTACAATAAGAGCCAAATGTCATGGCACAAGAGGATACTCACAATAAACAGCTTTAGCGGTTACGGAATACACCTTCGCCTTTGCTTCTGCATATCTAACCTCAAGCCATTTAGTGCTTTCTATTCTCTTTTGCTGTGAACATGAAGCAGAGAGCAGATGATTTTTCAAAGCAGGTTTTGACCATTCAATCTGCAAGAGCAAGGCTCTAAGTGAACAACCATGTTCTCTACAACTGGAAAGAGCAAAACTGCATCCAGTCTTCCCTTGGCCACACTCTTAAACTTCTGCTAGTCCCTTGCAAGCCCGTGCTAACCTGTTCTAGAAACCCATAAAAATTCAAATGCCTTGTCAGTGTCCTTTGGCGAGTTTCATGAATAGCGTATTCTGTTGTCTGTTTGGGTTCTTTTAGATCAGATGATTTGGCAGGAAACTTGCTGAAAATGTTGTCTCCTGGTCTGAATATTTTGAAAGGTCACTGAGATCTGTATTTAAATCTTGACATCTCATGGAAGATCTACATGACCTCAGAAATGGGCTTGTTGAGTCCTGAAAGTGTATATCTATCTTGTGTCTTGTTTGTGACATGCTTCCTGCTATAGAAATAGCTCAAAGGACTGTACATATTTACAAGAAACTTTATATTCGTAACAAAAGGGAATTGAATTGGTTTCTACTTTTTTATTGTAAACTGTGCAGTTTTTCAACACTAGCTTTTTTGTTTTAATGGTGGTTGTGGACAGCCATCTTCAGACACTGGAGGAGCCTCAGCTTAATCCTCCTAGCTCCCATGAAGAAATATTGTAACATTAAATTGCAATTGAAGCTTGTGAGCATAAATGAGGATTTAGGTATCTAAAAGTAAAGTACAGGATTTTTTCTTCATTACCTTTTTATTATTGACAAGGGAGGGAACCAGAGGGACAGTTCAAAGCTCCACCTGGAAAGTATTGAACTTTGTTGTTGAACAATAACCAAATAAAACAAATAACTATCTTGACTGGCATGGTGAAATGAACGCTTCCTTCTACGTGGAGTACCACTAAGCCATCCTAACATTGCACCCAGCATTAGAAGCTGCGTAATCTATAGGCGTCTGAGCTTACCAAAGAGCTAACCGTGACAATATTTAGCCTTTTAATAGTTGTTATTCCCTGAACAAGTAACTAGCATAAATGGCTTCACAAAGTTAAAGCATGTTCCTATGAACTAAAACAGGTGGATTTGTCCAAATATTTTACTATAGCAGCAGTCTGCTGCAAACACCTAGCGCTAACCTCTGCCCTCAGAGGGGCAGAGTTAAAGGCATGTGAGTATCTGGGAAAACAAGCTGGCCCTGGTAAATGACCCATACATTTTCAGCTGGAAAAAAAAAAAATCTTAATTAACAACAGTGTGATCTAACGACAGGTTTGGGATCTATCCCAGCAGTGTACTGGTAGCAAAGGGGACAGAGATAGTTACTCATCCCACCGCTGTAATATGCTGGTGCTTTAAGGCTTAATAGCTGCAACTTTTTAAAAACACTTCACAAATCTAATTCAGAGTGAGTACAACCTGCAGTTACTGTACATCTTAACTTACACCTGCTGGGAAAACTTGCTAGATCAGACTTAAATGTAAATACATCTATTTTTAACTGAACCAGTTTTTACAGGGTCTGAAGTATTCTTTCACAGGAAGAGGTTTTTAATATTCACACTGCTGCCTACAGTAACTTAATTTGTCCTCCTACTGTTCAGTGTATTTGGTTTTGTGCACATACCCCCTCCCCCTGCCTGGCCATGTCCCCCCCCATACAGGGCTTGTTGGAGGGTGTGTGGGAGGGTTACTAATAGCTCCTATTACATTTTGGTCTACCATGCCATTCTTCATGAAAAATGTTCTACGTTTTAAAAAAAAAAAACACACAAGCAGCTTGATTTATCTATTGTGCCTACTATCTGATGTATATGATGAAATGCTAACTAACTTGTTAACTAAATGTTCCTTTATTTCTATTTTACTGTGCACCAAAAAAAAAAAAAAACTTATTTAAAACTCATTGTTGCAGTCCTATGATGCATGATCAGAATTGTAACAAAACTAAACAAATTCCAGAAACTGGTGGAGTGTTTAAAAAAAAAAAATTTATTTACTGAGCCTTTTGCTTATCAGGAATCCTGCACCAATTCCATTTTCAGCATCACTACCACACATTTGCTGCTGAAAATTAGAGGGTTTTTTTTTTTGGGGGGGGGAGAATGGGACTCTTGTTATTTCTGCCATAGACACAGAATCTAAGCGCTTACTCAGAGTCCCAAAATGCCTATAACAAAAGGCTCTGCAGCTACCTAAAAAAAATGTGCTCTCCTAGCAACAGCCAGGAATGAACATAACAGCACAGACTGAGCGATGTGGGTGGGGGGACGTAAGCGAGCTAATAAATCCAACTCTTGATTCATTTTTTGCCTTTGTAAGGATTTGATTCATCCCGTTACAGTAAGGGAACACAAGTGTGATTAAGCTAATCCATCCACTTGTCAAGAAGAAGAACCCC